CGCCAGCAGGTTGTAACAGTCGTGAGACTGCTTCGGAGACGTCTTTTATGTAAGAAATGGCCCTCCAGACTTCGGGTTGCTTTTGTACTGGCCGTCGTCTGTTCACTCGGCGACAATACGCCGATTAAAAAGTGAATGGACAAACATGTGCTTCCGATAATTTCTCATCGGACAACTATCCTTACCTCGTGAGTTGTTTATGATTACTAGTTACATTAGTTACTAAAACGTAGCGAGTAATATAACCATTTCGCCTTGAACAAATAAATACTCGGGGTACCGAGATCTCGCCAGGATGGGTACATTCTGAAACGGATCGGTGCACAATTACCCACTTCTATGATTACTTTGTTCTAGGACTGTAAATGCCACGGTCTTAAAAAAGTCCTGATAAAAATATCTTTAAAACACCGATGAATACCCTTTTAGGCGGACAGTATCGCTGCCAAAGACAAGGGAGACTAGAATGACCATTTTTAGCTTATTAGCCGTCGTCAGCCAGTCATATCCAATCCCAAGTGGTGCACCACGCGCGGCCCTTTTGGTTAGAGCATAATGCTCTAACCATTGAGTCATCGTTAGCCAATTTTGTTTATTACTGCCTAATGTTTCGAAACGTTCTATCTACCATTGTTGGAAGGAAGAGTTATTTTCATTCGCCGATCTTAACACATATTTATGAGTTCAGGTATTCTGTCAACTTGAACCATATACAGGCTCGTCTCTAAGTTGAGATATAGATTTCTAGGTGTAATGATTATTCAGCTGCTAGCTTTGAACAAGTAGACTTTCAGGAGGATGACCCTTTAGGTTTTACCACAAAATATGACTGTCCGGTCCGCATCGAATTCCCTTCAAAAGGAGCTCACAAGGCAAGTGAATAGAATTTGTTTTACGTTTTATCAACACTACTTAAGTAGATTGGGTGATTCAAAGTAGAGTGCATCATTTTTCAGAAAGACGAGCCTGCATCCTTGATGTGTGTCATCAACTTTTTCCAGTATAACGTTGATTTCAATTTGCATATTTTAGTTGATTGCCGTCCTTCGCCTCGGACCTTATATCGCCTTTCAGCAGGCTTCATTCAGCTGTGCGGTACTAGGCTTCTACGAGGGTTCCGTGATAGCTGACACGCAACTCAATGTGACCTTCAATACGGAAGTCGTAGACACCACTAATACCTCAGCAGGCGATTTCATCCAGCAGGTGTCAGAAGGGATGCAGGCAAATTCTACAAACGGAACCAGTCCAATGCCGCAGTTTGTATATTCCACGTTGAACGTTACAGGTAAGAAAGTGTTTACATTGTGATTATTTATGGCAAACGAACTACGGCACACTGAGGGATCTTGATTTTATTCTACAAGCCCTCAGTCCACTTTTCATTGGCCATGAGAACTTTCTGCGAGTGAGACCTGCGGTTCCTGTTTAATCTGTACTTAAGGAGCCTTATGGTGCTAAAGTATAAAAGCCTAATCTATACATTATTTTTTACAGCAACTGTTACTACTGCTACTACCGACAAAATGACAACCACGACAGAAGCCAGCACGACATGGCAGTCATCAATCGCTGCGGTTATAACTCCCACCGGCGTCCCCAGTTCGTATGCAAGCAGTACGGAGAAGACGATGACTACCATGACAGAGGAGGAGGAGGAGGAGGAGGAGGCGAGCGTGGCC